AAAGCTAGAAATTAGGACTTGACTGTCTTCACTCATTTCATTAAATCAAAATTAATTTGTTGGATAAAAAAATTAAAGAATAAATAATGTTGGAATGCAATAAAAGAAAAATTATTCAGAATCGTTTCTTCAGGTATTTTTTAAAGTTATATCCATTTAAATTGTCTTCTTTTGTTTGGAAAAAAACCGCCAAAGAGACATTATGTCAGATTCACCAGTGAAACCATGACAAAATAATGGAATTAATTATTCTGACCCTCAAGACTTGTTATCGAAAAGATTCTTGCATAAGACTACTGTTTTAAAATAAATTTCCGTGAGTCATGTGTACTTTAATACAGCAGTTGACATTCAGTCGTTTTTATCAGAAATATATATTGGCGATAAGACCAATTTTTTTTTCATGAATACTGATAAAAGTTTTATCAACACTTTTCACACTAGAACATTCTATCTAATGCTCATCGTCTTCTTGAGATTTTTTCTTAACTTCCCACGAGTCATTTCCCGTGAGTAATAAGAATAAATTAGAAATAATAAATTCAATAAAATGTTAAAAATGAAATTGGGAGTCAATGTAATATAATACAATGCTGATGATGAAGATAATTGTCATTCTAGTGTTGATTCCATAGTTGTACGTATATACATTCCACTTCCACAGCCATAATTGTCGGCATAAATGGTCTTCGGACAGCATAAATAAAATTCATCGTGTCGACGTGCGTCGTGATGACTCACTGGAAACATTGACTTCGTTTACCAGTTCATTGGAAAAAAAATAAAGTTAAACAATAGAGAAGATGATCGAGGTTCACTTTTAGAACTGGAAATTTTATTCTCTCATTTAGACACCAAATAAATGAGTGGTCAGAGATGGAGGGAACAAGAAGTTACATCGTAGTTTAAAAATATCTTTATTGAAAGTTAAACGTCAATGCCATTAAATAATTAAACTTGGAAATTCGTGGAAAATTAAACTCAGTTGAACTTGGATACAAGATAAACAGGAACTATCTTGGAAGAGTCTATTTGGATTGTTAAATGATTTAATTAATTTTTAAATGCAATAGATAATTAAAATTCAAATGATTAATGTTTAAAGGTTGGAGCATTAAATTAAAATATTTAACATTGATGGTGATAATTATTTAACAGTGTAATCAGTAAATTCTTTATGAGAAAGAGATTGATGTTAACTTATTTTTTATTTAGTTAAATTTTAATTTTTTATTCCAAAAATGTTGCTCAATTTTTTTTTAATTAGTGTTTTTATTTGGAAATTCAGTCACTAAAGTATGAGTTGTGAGTTTTTTCATTAATTTGAAGCTAGAAAAGTTCTTTTGCAATATTGATGCGTTGCCAACAGCAACTTCCTTATGCATATTCAACTTGCTAATCAATCAGTGGAAATTTTTGCAAATATCGCTGTTTTGTAAAATATGCTGATCGATAAAAAAAATGTCTTTTGTTGTAAAAAGAGTTAATTAAGGAAATTCTTTCCAAGAAAAAAAAAAAAATTACTAAACCTGTTTTTTATGTGTTGCTTTTTATTTATTTATTTTTTTTAGGATGAAGATGAAATCTGTGTCCCTATTGAAAAAATTTTCTGAAAAATTCCAAATCATCATTCCTATATAAAATGTCGATAGTTTCTTCAAATTACATTTCAATCAAGCTCTCTATTTTTTCCACAATATTCAATATTTCATCGAACGAGTATATCATAAAGATTGTGTCGGTAAAAATTCAATGGTATTTCAAGAGAATTGAATCTCAGAGCTTATCGCAACAGCTTTTCCGAAGTGGAAAGAAAATAGAAAGTTGAGTTGGCAAGAGAACCTTCTCTTACACTTAGGCGACAAGTAGTGAATTGATCCTGTCACTTGCAAAAAAAAAAAAAAAGATTAAAAGAAATAATATCCCAGGAGAAAGAAAAGTTGATTATAAAATTTTGAATGACCAAAGTGCAAATGTGGTGTGCAGCAGTAGTCACTCCTTATCTCTCGGTTAACCACATTCATAACCACCTGTAATTCAAGAGGTGGTTGCCATAAATACGCAAATTCTCTGGCTTTTCATTGCATTAGGTTTTCCAAGTTTCATACTTGAAAAAAATAAAGAATTGAATTTAAAACCTCTTTTTATAAAAAGGTCAATGACTTTCATATCATTTACCAACATTATAAACAATCTTTTAATCATTTTTTTTATTAAACTTTGCCTTCTCTTTTCTTCTAAAACCATTTTACTCTCATTATAATTGCATATTACGAATTATTCTATTTGAACAAACAAAGTTATACCATTTTCCCTGACCCAACAGCATGTTTTAATGCAACTTACAATTTACAACTGCAAATATTATTCTTATACAAAGTACTAAAAAATCTTACAATTATTATTAGACTCAATAAAAAGTCTCTGACATCATTTGTCATGTGAAGGTAATTTTTTTTTAAAAAAAAATCACCATCATTTTCATTTCTTATCTGATATGTTCTCCAAAAAAACATCACTACCATTACAAGGTGTGTAGGTTCAAATGAGTTCGAATCAAGGAGATTATGAAACTAGGTCGTACGTTCTTCAATCATAATTATAAAGTCATTCATTCAATGTATTTTTTAACTTGACAATGGTCTTATCCAATTATTATCATATTAAACTATTAATATTCATCACTAAAAATTTTCCAATCGATCAATACTTGATTCTTCAATTAAAAAACAATTCAAAAGCGATTGAATTCTTCTTTGAATTGAATCAATGTAAATTTCATTCTTATCTTTATTCTTTTTTTTATTATTGATACAAAAAGGTAGTTATCGACATCGTAGGTAATTTTTAGAGCATTGTTTCAGCCCTTTCATCGGCTAGATAGAGATTTTGATGAGCAAAAAGGCATATTGAGAAGTAGAAGAGGATAATTCTTGGATTTCAGTCTATTGTCATTTTCTCTGTGGACTTTTGTTCTTTTCTATCAAGCTATTTCTACGTCTACTTATAGACAGAGAGTATGTAACACTTATTCGTAACCAGTAGCATAGGAATCACTAGTAAAATGCATCCAATGTCATATTTTAAAGATGAAATGTCTTATAGCTGCACTTTATTTCAAGCATCTGTTTCAAAAGTTCTCTTGCTTTTTCTGAAAAGTACCACATGAGCCAAGTGTTGGCGATATTTTACTTTAGATAAAGAGCAGAAGAGAGAAATAAGAGTTGAATTTTCCCTCTAGACTTGTGGTATTAGAACCATGTTTCAATGCTTCAGTCTCGGCTGGTACATTTCCCAGATAAAAATTTTCTGTAATCAAGTCTCGTTTCACCTAAATTTGAGTCATCATATTTTGTGGTCTTTTTTTGGAATTAATTATTTCATTTCACTCCAAAAAAGGTTCCAACCCTTAGACATCTTCAGCCAACCATACATTTTCTCTTAACCATTACCAGGAAATTGTGCTATTAATAAATGAAAATATTTTTAACTTCAAATTATTTATTCAGCTGACTTTTTCTTTGAAGACTTTACCGTATTATAACAAAAACGAAAACAACTTGAGAATTATTTTAGAAAAATTTAAAAGATTGTTTATTAATTATGACAGAATAATTAGAAGATCAAATAAGACGTCCGGTTAAATCTAGTCATATCAATGTAAATTTTTTTTTGGACAGTTTGATATGATCCTTTTCATTCTTTTCATCCAATTATAAAGAATATTAAAATGAAAATAAATTTTTAGTGTCCCCATACTTCCTTATCCAAATTACTTCTACTTAATCTTCCCTCATTTTTTGTTGCAAAATAAAATCCCACTTGATTCATCGCCAAGTAAGACAGCCTTAAATGATAACTTTTCCAACGGAGAAATTTTTTCATACTTCTTCAAGTGCTTAATTACAATTGTTAATTCTGATGTAATTGGTAGGAAAAAAAGACTTGTTTTTGTGCGAGAAAATCCATTAACTGGCAGTTAAGAAAGGTCAGTGATTTCCCCAGTGACATGTTGGAGACCTTCTGCACTTTCTATGTATCAAGTGGCCTCTATTTCAAATACTAGTCACTTTGATAAGAAGAAGCGGTACTTTAGGTAAATGGCCACGACTCGTTGCCCACATGTGTATACATTTCAGAACCGTTTCGCATGTATTTCATGAAACTTACGTATGCTCGCGTACTAGCTCGCGCGTTCGAGCACGTAATACAAATTTCTAAATGCTCCGTTACATACATCCGTCTGAATTGTTTTACATCTTGCTTTCTTCACCCTTCTTTCATATCTACATGCAGTACTTAATGTTTTCATGCTTGTAATTTATGACTTATAAAAACCATTCTTTTTTTTCTCTCTCTTTTATTTTAATTTCAAAAATATTTGGAACAATTTTTGCATTTAAATAGCAAAGAAAAAAATATTTTTTGATTATTAATGAACATGATATATTGTTATTTCATTTTTTTTTTTCTTCTCTAAAACGAAAATTAATGTGCATCCTTAACTATACATTAATGATTTACGTGGATAATTATCGAAAGTTTTTAATAAAGATTAGTATATTCAACTGAACTAAACCGAATCGAGTACGTATGAAAATTCTCGACCCACATTTTGTGCACTACTTGGTTTTTAAATTGATCAAATTAACAAAATTCTTTCTTAATTGCATCTAATATATCTTTAATATCATCAACATTTGACAAATTAAACTTTCATCATAATGAAATTTTTTTTTCATTTCTCATGTTTTACTTTTCTAAATAAAATAAATACAATTAATTCAACTCATTCATCGTCAACATAATTTATGAGTTAATCATAACAAATGAGAATTATTATGCTAATAAATAAAATGATTCTCAGTAGATAAATCTTTAACAAAAGTTTGTGAAAAAAAATTTCTATCAACATATTTTTTCCCATCTCGCGAAAAATACTTGATTTTAATCTTCACCAGACGGAAATGTGTTCTTTTCTCTTCCTCGATGATGCTTCTTGAAAACTTATAGTCTCATTGTAGTTATGGGTATAAGTATACATATGTACTGTCTATTAGTGACATGTATTCATTTGCAGCTATTTCCATGCAGCGATATATGTAATGATATGAAGCTATCATCGAAAGAGGCATTGCGATATTCTCCAATGGGTGGTGGGAGAATTCGAGTAAATTCCCCCTACCTCTTCCGTAACTTTGACAGTTCCATTACCGTATCAAAGCTAACGGCAGCATCGCCACGGATAGTTCCCGTCTGTGAATCGACGCGTGCGGTGGTCTGTCAGGTAGCAGCTCTATTCGTGTCTCTTTTGTTATTTTTTTTTCATCTACCACCGCTACTTTTAATTCTTAATTGACCAATTGACTCCAAAGGTGTTTATCTCTACATTCAACTTAACTATTTATTATTACAATTAAAATAAAACAATCAATCAATTTTCAGAAATAAAGTGAGCAAAGTTGTATTACTTGGTATTGATATATTTTTCTTAAACCATCAAAATAGTTGCATAATAATAAAAAAAATTGTTTATGTAAATAAAAGCACGTTTTTAATTGATAATTAGATAATGCTGAGTTGGAAAATTAATTTAGTTTTATTATTAGCAATAATAGAGAACAATAATGAAATAAAAAATTATTACGAATGGGAACTCGTGAAGAACAATAGGTCGCGTTTGACAGGAATAAAAAAAAAAGCATCGCTTGTTCATTAGAGGAAATGTAAACCTGTGGCATGAAAAGAAAGTGCATATAACAGAGACAATTACAGTGAAAAATACAAAAAAAATATATATATCATTGATAATAAATAGAATTTTTTACACAGTGTTTTCGTATTATATTTGTTTTGTTTGATGTCAACAATAAATAATAATAATAAAAGTAAAGTGAAAATAACAGTGACAGTTGCGTATGACAATTCTTGTAAATAAACCTCTGGGGAAAGGGAAAAAAATAGCTCAGGTGTTGATATTCCTAGGAAAATGGGTGCAATCAATATTAATCGTCATCAGAAATTGTTTTAGTGGAAAATTCATCTGCAGTTGGAAATCACTGTCAAATAGTTTTACTCGTGATGTGATTTAGTAGTCATTATTATTCATCAGGTTTGACGCATAGTACGTGCGACCTCGATGTGATCGTATTAAAGAAGAACAAACGGTATATCGTTTGACATATTAGTCTACAGATGATCTAGACAATCGATAAAATAATAGCATCAGTATTAGAAATTATTCTCCAAGCATTCACCATGCAAGAATAAATTTATGTTTCCTTGACAAACATTAGACCTTTCAATGGAATTGTTTATTTATTCTAGTGTGTGTGTTCGATGTTTTGTTTTTACGACAAATAGAGTGACTGATAAGGATAATATAAAAAAACATTTAAATATATAGATATTGAGTAATCACTTCCGATTTCACAGTTTATTACTCTTAATTACTTATTCATGTCACTTTCTCATTTTTCACCAGGACAATACTTTATTTTCCGTTCAATTATTTCCTAATTTTTCTGTTATTTGCCATTAGAAAGTTGGTTTACATTATAAACTGACAATTGATATTTTTTATTGAATGATAAAAACAATTGGAATTAATTTGCAATTAGTAATTGACAATGAAAATAATTATAACAAAGTGATTAAGAGAGAAGGGAGTTGACTATTACTCATGATCGAAATAAAATTTATTAGTATTCATTGTTGAATATCATTACTTTGACGTCAATGATTGTGATAAAAAAATATTTAAAACATCGACTCATGTCACGAAAAGCTTTTTAATCAATCTTGATAAATTTATTTTGCGAAAACAGCTAATGGTTGTATTTTATTGTTGATACATTACTTGTGATAAATTGGTAAAAGTACGAGATTGAGTGGCACTTTAGATTGCACTATTTTCAAGCTGAAATAGTTTAACTCCAAAAATAGATTGAATCGATACCAAAGAAAGCCATTTTCTTAAGTTCAAGTACTTTGTCGCGTAATAGAAGTTTGAATTAAAATTAACCAAGTAATCGTTCAATTCCCTTTAACTACTACTTCCAAGAAGTTAGGTGAAGTGATATTACATCATTATTAGTCGCTAAAACACTTTTATTATTATCACTTACTTGTAAACTTTATTTAAACAAGAGAAATATTTTTTTTACAAAATAAATGCAGTTCTACACTAAGAAAAATATTTACTGTACACAAGTAATCTTTTTTTTTTTAATTAATAAAATAAAAATTTTTGAATAGTTGCAATAAAATATTTTACTGCGAATATTTCCAATTCTTTTTATTAATTAAACATTTTTTTCTCAGTTTACTAATTAATAATTTTTTATTTTAATAATATTGTAAAATAATTCAACATTGATGTTTCAAAACAATTAAGAAAATTATTTTTACTTCGTAAAGGAAAAATACCAATGTATACAATTTTTCTCGCTTTATTTTATTTTAAAAAACAAAAATTTAAAAAACAAAAAAAAATGACATTGAATTCAAAACAACATTTTGTCAAACATCTAGATCCGATGGGTACAGAAATGTATCTCTAAAATTCAGGAAAAAAAGAATTCATTTCCACCGCATGTGAAACCGAACCAAAGAGACATATCAATACAACTATAAAATATCAGTAAAGTGATCGTGAAAAATAGAAAGATTAAACTCTTCGATACTATGAATCAGCAGAATTTCCAATTGAGGCAAATAAAAAAAGATACATTGAGAAATTCTAATCTCATATCGTGGAAAATGCGTGACGGAGGTTTGTGAGACGTGACTGAAGTGAATGCAAAGGAAAGTGGTATATAATGTTTGGAATAACGATGGTCGAACCTCGTGAGAGGATTATGTCCTCTCCGAATTCTCGGATGCTTCAACAGCAGCAACAACAACAACAACAAAATCATCATCGTCATTATCAGCAGGTCATCAAGACTACTCGAGTTCATCATACGTCTAAAAGCAGTCGAGTTGTTACTGTTCAAGAAAAAGTCATCAGATCACGTCTGCAACTTGGATACTCTACACCAACAAACTTTATCAACCGGTAGATATTTTTATTCTCCTTACATTATTAAACATCAAGCCTGATATTACTTGCTTCTTGCTTTCTTGAAAATAATCATTTTAATAAAATTTAGGAAATTTATTTATATTACAGAATAGATTTAGTAGTCAGAACATCACATTTTTGCTGAGCATGCATCATTGATGCAGTCTGATAATTTTTTTTTCGGAATAAAAACCATTTTATTTTTAGTTCTGAATAAATAATGAAGGAAAATCACGTAGGAAGAGTTTGAATAAATAATAAAAATCTCAAAATCCATAAAATCTTGAATTTTAAATAATTTATCTATGGATTGAGTTAAATTAATCATAAACAAAGCTGTGAAAAAGGAATAATATTTTTATAGACTTGAATAATCATAATGGAAAAAAGAAAATATGGCTCCATTATTTTGTTTTATAAATATTTGAATCTCTTCTCATCAATAACTTTCTTTTTGACAGATTAATTTTAAATTACAATGAAAAATGATGTTCTTTAATTAAAAAATAATATTACCAACATCATGAATCCAATAAGAATATTTTATCACAGATTGTGGTTTATATATTCGAACTAATCAACTATTAATTCAATAACAAAGCAATCTCTTCGCTTTTGTAATATTGATAATAATTAAATTTAATTATTATCGACTAGTTTCATTAGCAGTAATAATCAATATTACTCACTGACCATTGATGTCTCTCATCCTCTAAACTGCGACTTAATAATTGAGCTTTTACCAATTAAAATACTCAAACCATTAAAAAAATTATTCCTTTAATTTAATAACCACATTAAAATGCTATCCTTAAAAAATAATAAGTCTTTTGAATTTAAATAAATGTTCTATTCATCCATCATCATTTATTTTAAAATTTATTCATCAAACAGACGTTTTGCTCCACTATACTTTGCCTTTCAACAAATGCAAAAAAAAAATGAAAGAATAAATAAATTGTTCTGGTGATTCAAGAGATAATAAAGCAAATATTGAATTATTCATAAAAAAAATTCAATAAATGTTTCCAAAATTGACTTATCTTTACATAACACGATATTTTGAAAATCATATGGAAGTATTATTCCGTGATGCACGTGATAATCTACGTAATAGTGTTAAAATACAATTTTTCCTGAATAACTCATTATTTTCAATATAATAAGGTTTAAATTGTTATGCTGGTGCTTTTGTACATCATTTGATTCCAACTTCCACGCGATTCTTCAGTCAAAAGCCACAGTTTACCATACCCACAGGATATACACAATGCTCTTGAGTTTCATGCAATTCTTTAAACCACGTTCTCAAAACTTCCGTGATATTCTGAAACAATAGCATCACGTTGTTGTCAAGTTGATGAAGTAAATCTATTCATGCGTCATTTTCAACATTAAAGTTTATTTTTTAACATCCAACGATTAACAGCCATCTGTGGATACTTATTAAGTAATTAAAAATTTTTATCGACACCAAGAGTTATTTTTAGATTTTTCTTACATCATCAGTCACCTTTTGCCTCACATATCATTTCATGACATCAAAAGAAAGTGATAACATTCACTTTTTCATTTTGTCCATTACCCTAGGTTAACTATTATATTATTAAAATACACTAGTATCATCATCTATCATTATCCCATTATTTTACATTAAATAATTTCATCTCATCATTATGATTGTAATACTTTTATTCTCCAATGTTACACAATTCTATTATTTTCCAAATGCAATTACTTTTCATCATACATCAAATTAAAATCATCTTTTCTATCGTTCTTCTAATGAAAAGAAAATCATTTTGTAATAATCATTCCATTGAAAAATATGCTACCTACATTTTTAACTCATTTTAATCATGCTTATATTAATAAATTAACAATTAATCATATTATTTGATTCTTTATATAATAAATTTATTATATAAATATTGAAATATTTTAAGCAAGAAATTTTAATTAATTGATGAATTAATTTTTTCCTATTATTTAATTTATTTATTACTGATAAATACAAAAAAGAAACTAATATTAATAATTTTAATATTACATTTAGTTTATAGTCTAAATAAATTGCATTGCATGTGAACTATTGAGATTATAAAGTTCCCCTCTTTTTTGCGATGATGTTCTGCCGATTGCGTAATGCACTGCTTCTTTTATGTATGTTTTATCTTTTCGCTGGCATCAGTTGGCACTGTATATACATTTATATAATTATTAATGTTGGTGTAAAAAATAACAGGTCTGGCTATAGTGAAATAAAAGCATAACTAAAAATGGGCCTGAGTGCACTTTGTCATCTTTTAGTTTTTAATTGTTTATAACAAGTTAAAATTTTTATAAACAATATATAATTGTTGAGTTATGTGAAGTCATTAACAAACATATTATATTGATACTGACCTTAGTTTTTACCCAGATTATCTCACAATCTTCTTGTTATTAAAAAACAAAATGGCTGAACCGATTTTATTTATCACTTCCGATCTTCTTCATTTTATTATCTTTAAAATGAAATTAGTCTAAACTCGATATCTTTAGTGGTTCTCGAGATATCGAAAACGAAAAAAAAATGTCTCAAAATAATTTCCTAATGGAAAGTTAAAAAGCAGAGTTGATAAAAAAAAATGTCGGAATATTAAAAAAAAATTTCCATTTAAAAATATCCTGAAGTGTTCTAATCAAACTTGACTATTTGACTCGTTACTTTTAGTACGAATACGATAATACCCCAAGGGGCAATTAGACATTTGCGATGATTCTGAGAACTGTTTATCCAACATAATTGCACCACGCGGGAGCTGGAAGACTCTCGTTACGCGACTCACTTATTTTACCATAAGACGACCTGAGGCCATTTTCTCAACGGACGAGTCTCTTTCTCTGATGATTGACACGCAAAAAACCTGACCTGCTGTATACGTATATAGTCAGTGAAATCAGTTGGGAGCTTGGTGTCAATTTAAACGTAAAATGAACAAGAAACAAAGAGAAATAAATGTTAAAGAAGTTTTGTTTGCACTTTGTCATGACCAAGCCTTCATTTTCTTTAGGGGGCCAAGTGGATTATTATCATTTTGCACACCATTAGTCTAGTTTGCTCTCCAAAACTCTCTCTTTGGTGACCTCAAATTTCGGTCAACGATAAGACCACATTTTTTTCGGTAAATATCATTAAAAATATCTGTTTTGGAATTTTTTCTTCAACTCGATATAGAAAATATATATTTTTAGTATTCACTTCCTTGATAAGGAAAGTATGTTGAAATATACTTGTTGATATTAAGCAAGTGACAAGTGAAATTAAAAATAATATTTTAAAAATATATATAACATACTTATTAAAGATATTTATTGAGAAAAAAAAACACATTTAGATCTTTTGATTGAGGTAATTTATTATCAACATCAATCTAAATATTATTCCCATCACTATTTATAATCCTGGATAATATTATACTTCATAAGAAATATATCCTACGCACAAATTTTCTTTTATATGCTTAGAAAAAATAAAAAAAAAGAATTTCCATACTTTTAACGTTCACTTAGAAATTCTGATTTACGATGTACTTCAGCCCTTCATTTTTCTTCCAACCCTGGAAGCATTAAGCTCAGTTGTAAACCCGGAAACGACACGAATTTAATGCTTGGTAAAACGTGAAAGCTCGTAGAAAAAAATCTGATTTCACCATCACTAAAATAAATACAGAGTTCTACCTTACCTACGATATAGATTGTATTTAAAAAAAGCTAGTTTGCAGAGCTGTAGTAAACGTTTTATCACATCAATATTCTAACTGAACAGAGAGTCTTAATGAAGTTAGTGCAATTCGTGTGTCCTTATGCGGAAGCGAGGACCCTTTGGTACACTTTGATGATGCCAAGCGTATCACTAGTGCGTTCTAATCATTAAGGGAATAATTAAAGCGTAACTTATTACCACATACGAAGGTCTCGTGGACTTGTAATTAACGATACCTATTAAATAATTTCCTCTTTGTCCTTGTAGTCGTTATTTACTTATCAACTAATCGAATATCAGCTACTGAAAACTTTAAATAAATTGATGTTTATGATGAAAGCCTGCTTCAGAAGACTGTTGTAAGTAGAGTCTCTTATTTTTTATTCATCATCTGTAATCTTTATTTGAATGTCATGCTGTAGTCTAGCATGAATCGTTTGAGTGATAATTACTTTGATTATATTGCTAACTAATAACTTCATAATGATTGTCACGTTTGAATGATTCATTCTTTTCTAAATTAAACCGGATTATAATCATAATAGATAGTGATTAAAACAAACATTAAATATCATCACTTAAAAAAATTGTTGATGCTTTAAAATGATTTTTCCTTCAAATAAAATGACTTGGTCGTTTGTCGGCATCGATTGAAACATTAATGAGAATAAGAATAAATTTTTTTTTATTGATCATTGAACAGAATTTAAATGGTTTTGGATTTTTATGAACAATAAATGGAGCTCATTGAATTAATTGATAGTTGAATATAAAAATATTATTGTCTAAGCAATAATATGGTATATTAAAAGCAGGAAAATATTTCTAAAAAGTCTTTAAAGTTAAAAAAGAATCATAAAAAAAATATT